GGTCCGGGCTGGGGATTCGAACCTGCCACCTTAGGTGTACGTGGCTGGCGCCCTAGCCGGTTGAGCCACAGGCGCCGAGCCTCTTAACTTTTTTTAATTGAAGTATAAAATGTATATGAAGTCAAGAAGTGCATGCATCTTAATTGTACAGCTCAGTGAATTTTTACATATTACTGGTGTGACCACCAGATAACATAGATCAAATTATAACTGTAGCACATTTTCATCTTACCAAGAATGTCCCTCTGATTCTTCAAAGTTAGTTGTACCCCTGCTCTCCAATCTGTATTCTGGTTTCTCTCAGCAGCTTTTAGTGTTGTCTATTTTGAGTTACACATTAGTAGAATCATACAGTATGCTCAGCATATTGCTTGTGGGATTCACCCATGTTTTGTGCAGTGGTATCCTTTATATATACCATGATATGGTAGCAGTTCTTTTTTATTGCTGTGTAATGTTCCATTATATGACCTCTGCCTTGTCTGTTGTTGGACATTTGTGTTCCAGTTTTTGTATATGATGTATTTTTTTGTTTGGGATGTGGGTTGAGGCAGAATTTCAACTTTGTTGCCTTCTGTATAGTGTGGTGGCCTCCTAGCTCACATCAACCTCAAACTACTGGGCTTAAGCAATCCTCTTGCCTCAGCCTCTAGAGTAGCTAGGACTATAGGTGGCCACCACAACACCCGGCTAGTTTTTCTATTTTTAGTAGAGACAGGGTCTTGGTCTTGCTTAGGCTGTTTTCCAACTCCTTAGCTCAAGCAGTCCACCTGCCTCAGCCTCCCAGAGTGGTAGGATTACAGGTGTGAGCCACTGCACCCAGCCTATACGATATATTTTGAACATTAAAAATGCTGTGAACACCCTTGCAAATGTCTTAGTTAGCATCTGTATGCATTCCCGGCAGCTGTAGAATGACTGAGTCATAAGGTAAGCTGAAAATGACATTTTACCCAACATGGAGTCTTCTTTTAATGTATTTTGTTATTTTAACTAATATAACATTAAGTGTTGGTAAAAAGCATAACTATTATGAGGTCAAGACTGAAGTGATTCATGCATTACTGCATAATTTACACCTTGAATTACACATCTAGGACAGTCTTCTGTGAGACAGTCATTACTTGTTTAACTGTTAGAGCTGGTGTTGATCTGACTCTGAAGTTTGATGTGACACTAATGTAAGTACTGTATTACTCAAGTTAGTTGTTGTTAGGGGGAAAGGAAATACTGAAAGGATATGACTAAAAATGAATTGACGAATCATGGGATTACAAATCAGTAAACTTACATTGTTATTGTCATACTACATAAGCACTAGGTTAGTTACAAATGTTAATTTATTGCAGGAGTATAGCAATTTCCACATGGACTGAGATTGTAGCATATTTATAATGTGAACAAATAACAAAAAATCACTCAACATTTATGGGAAATCAATAGCATGTTAGAGAAACTAAGATTGAACAAATACAAGAACTAGACACTGAAGCAAGGAAGTGAAGGTAAGAAACAGAAGGAAACTTTAAAATAAATATTAATATCCTCATATTTGTTAGGATATCATGCCTTTTGAACACCTACAGACTACCATGAAAGAAAAGTTCTTAAATATTAAAACATAGAAAGTAAGATAGTAGCCATTACAGGGAAAGTAGATCTAGAAGAGCCAATGTACGTATAATAGGGGTTCCAGGAGGGAATAGAAATCAAAAGAGAAGAAACAACCAAAAAAAAAAGAAAAACCAACTCAGAGATGTTGAGGGTCGGAATATTCAGGCAGAGTCTTGGGCAGCCTAAGCATCAGGGGACAAAGTACTGGCAAATACAGATCACTCCTTCCTTTTCTGATCTCTGTTTCTTCATCTGTGCAATGGGGATGATCACAAAATATGCCTTTTCAGAGAGCTGTGGGAAGATATGTAAGTTGTGTTGACGGCCCCTCCTTCTTACTCTTCTCCCCAACCAACTCACACCAGATGCCACATTTCCCATTTCTACTCACAGTAGAATGGAAAGAATTAAAATCTTCTATCAAGGGAACAATAATATCTCTCTGAGTAGAACTGTGAGTTTATGAATGGAATAGATTTACTGAGAGTCTTAAAAGAATGTTGATAGAGATACATCTAGATAAATGCTGATGAAACTTAGGAATTTCATGGATACATAGACAACTCATAAACTTCCAAAGGTAAATATATGGTTACTTATAAAGCAATGGTTCTCAACCTTCCTAATGCCGCGACCCTTTAATATAGTTCCTGTGGATTGCAACCCACAGGTTGAGAACCACTGCTTATAAAGGAATGGAAATCAGACACTGCTATTAGACTTCCAATTTCGAACATGAACCGTGTTTAAGAAGTGTTTGTGGGATTTATTTTGAACTCAGAATCTTACCCCTAGCCAAACTGTCATTCAGATTGGAGGGAAAATAAAGCCCTTTCACCCCTGTCCACTAGGAATACCCAGTATATACTGTATCAAAATGAAAAATAAATCCAAGAAAAATGGTGTAGAATTCAAGAAGCAATGATCAAAGAAAACAGTAAAATTTCTTAAGGCACTGATAACCATAGCTAAGAAATTAATGCATTATTAAGAAAGGATTCATAAACTGAAGTACCATGTTTTCCCAAAAATAAGACCTACCCAAAAAATAAGCCCTAGAAGGATTTCTATGCATTTGTTAAATATAAGCCCTACCCCAATAATGAGACCTAGTGATGGGCGTGGCTATGCAGCATATCTATGCATTTTGGCATGGAGTGGTAAGGAAGACTGGAATACCTTTTATCTGCCGCAGCTCCTTTCTCTGAGCTGTCTGCACTTGTGCGGGTGTGCGGGTGGTACCGTGGTCACGGGCATCCTATTGCTCACATGTGAATGGCTAGGGGAAAGGAGTTCACGCATCATTAGCGCCAGCCCCACCAACAAGATCAGCTCCCCCTGTCAGGTTCCAGAAGAAGATAACTATATTTGAATAAATGTAGATTGTTGTATTATACTTAATAAAAATAAGACATCCCCTGAAAAGAAGCCCTAGTATGTCTTCTTGAGAAAAAATAAATATAAGACAGTGTCTTATTTTCAGGGAAACACAGTAGGTATGATCATGCTACTAGGGTAACTCTAGCTGGAGCAACAGAGCGAGATTCTGTCTCAAAAATAAATAAATAAATAGTCTTAAATAGATTGTGTTTTTCAGAGGGCGGTAGGTTATTCTTATTATAGTTAGTTTGGCACACTGCAGTGTAAGTGTCTTGAAAATGATGCACAGTATATGTGTTAGTAGTACCCAAAGTTATAAAGTCAAAAGATTAAGAATTGCTTAAAAGTCATAATATTATGTAAGGGATCAGTGCTGTTGTTTCAAAGTCACAAGTCAAATAGAAAAAGATGTTAATAGGAGACCTTTAGAGTAATATGTAGTACTCCAGGGCCTGGACTTTTCTTATTTTTATTATTAAATTCAGTCTCTCATCATATAGGTTTATTCATATTAAATATTTCTTCTTAGATCAGTTTCATTAGTTTGTATCTTTCTTGGAATTTGTCCATTTCATATGCTTATCTTTAAAAGAGATTAGATAATAACAAAAATCTGTGTAATCAGTATAGTTGACCTTTTTGAAGCTCTTCATTGCTCTGTGCGGGTCCGTATTTCTATCTAGTATTATGTTCCTTTGCCCAAAGGAGTTGTAGTACAGGCCTGATGGTGATGAATTCTTTTAGCTGTTTGTGTCTGAAAAAGTATTTTGACTTTTCATGGTGGTGTGTGCTTGTAGTCCCAGCTAATTGG